GTTGCCTTCTCCAGGAAACCTTTCCAGACCGACATCTACCTCCACACTCTCCTCTATCCTCCTCCTGTTCACACTGTGAGCTTCTTGGTACGTACATCACCACCAGCTGGTTACACGAATGGACTAATGGGCAAATGTCAATTTTTTGAGTCAGGTTGCTTAGAAAACTTAAGTAATTTGCCCAAAACACCACCAATAAAAGCCATGCTTTCGGGCGGTGGTGGCGCACACCTTTAATCCCAGCACTTGGGAGGCAGAGAGGCAGGCAGATTTCTGAGTTCGAGGCTAGCCTGGTCTACAGAGTGAGTTCCAGGACAGCCAGGGCTATACAGAGAAACCCTGTCTCAAAAAAAACAATCCCCCCCAAAAAACCAAAACAATCCCCCCCTCAAAAAGCCATGCTTTAAGCAGGGCGGTAGTGGATCTCTGTGAGTGTGAAGCCAGCGTGTGTGCAGATCAAGTTCCAGGACAGCCAGGGCAACACAGAGAAATCCTCTCTCAAAAATCCAAGAGCTAAAAACCAGCCAAACAAAAAAAGTGCCAGGATTTAAAACAGGCCCATACTACTTCCCTACCTCACTTCTCAGATAAGGAACTTTGACTACAAATATTCTGTAACAGCAGCGTATTTCTTCAGTTCCCGTTATTATCTTCTAATTAAACATCTTTTAGGTTGCAAGTGCTTGTTACTCCAGGACCAGGAGATCTTACACCCTCTTCTGGCCTCTGGGAGTACTACAACTTATATACACAAACCTGCTTACAAGCTCCTATGGAAAGGGCAGGCGGGCTAGATTGCTTCCAGTCTGGGAACTTTCCTGAGGGTCCATTGAGGCCAGGGGAGAGCTCTTCTGTCTTCTTTCTGCCTTCCTTTTCTTCCCTCCCTCCTTCCCTCCCTCCCTCCCTCCCTCCCTCCCTCCCTCCCTTCCTTCCTTCCTTCCTTCCTTCCTTCCAGACTGAACAATGAAATCACCACTCAATGACATCCCAACCTTCTCTTCATTTTTTCCTTTCATTTTCTGAGACAAGACCTCACTGAGCTGCCCAGGCTGGCCTTACCTTCCTGCTCCAGCCTCTCAAGTCACTAGGTAGACAGGCCCACACCAACAGACCTGGCTGGATCTACTGTCTTCAAGGAGTGACGACACATATCTCCACTTCTTACACAGGTCACAAAACAACTCATTTCTTTCTTAAGAAGAAGCCAGAAGAAAACAGCTAACACTTTTAAAATTGTCTCTATTTGCAGGGAATCTTTCAAAAGTCAACTTATGTATATAAACTTTATAGTGCTGGAAATCAAACTGAGGGCTGAACTACATTCCCAGTCTCAAAGACTATTTTTCAGGGAAGAAGAAAAAGAACATGTTTGAAATATTCCAATAACACTGCTCAGCACCACCACTGTCCCCCGACACTGGTGAGCGAGTACGGAGGTTCCAATTACTGGCACATGTTGCCCTACTTTGTTTACTGCTCTTCAACTTAGCTTTAATACTTTCCCCAATAACCTAGATGTAACAGTCCTAAGAGAATTGTCTTTAACAAGATCAGACAGGCAGAGGACAGTTATTGTTACAGCTTGATAGGGATATCCTCAGTGGAGCAGCAAAGGACTCCTGGATGTCACCAACATGTCCTTGCAGTGAGGCATCACATAAAGCTTGTGATGACGAAGGTTTGGTGACAGCCGGGTCAGCAGCATGAGAAACGGGGGTTGAGAGCCTAGGGAGATGTGTAATGGTCAAGTATGTACGTCATCTTAAAAACGACATCATTAACCTGGCTCTCTTGCTCATAACACTCTGGGCCATCCCTCTACAACACCTCCAATCCTACTTTGCACATGGCAAAGAACGTACCCACACAGCAGACACTGATCTACAATAGAATCTTAGAATCACAGATCAACCCTGGCATGGTTAGGGCTGCAGAAATGGCTCAGAGGTTAAGAACACTGAATGTTCTTCCAGAGGTCCTGAGTTTAATTCCCAGCAACCACATGGTGGCTCACAACCATCTGTAATGGGATCAGATGGCTTCTGGTGTGTGTGAAGGCAGCTAAAGTGTACTCATAAACATTAAATAAATAATATTAAAAAAAAAAAAAAGCCAGGCATGGTTAGTGTATTCCCATAATCTCAGCACTCAAGGATACTGAGGCAAGAGAACAGTCAACAGGAGCTTGAGGCCTGCCTGGGATGCATAGTGAGATTTTGTCTAGAGAAGAAAACCACCAACCAACCAACTAACCCACCAACCAACCCACCAACCAACCCACCAACCAACCCACCAACCAACCAACCAACCAACCAACCAACCAACCAACCCAGAGTCAGAATTCAACAAAAAAGGGCCTGCAAGCTCTTATCCTAGTATCAACAGCCAATGGCCTAACATGTTCTGAGTCCTATTCTAAGACGGCAACTATCCTGAAAGGCTGAAACAGGTCTCCTATTATCTAGCCTGGCTCCAACTCCTAATCCTGCTTCCAGGGCTGGGATTGCAAGTGTGTACCACCACACTCAGAGCGAAGCTGGAAAGTATTAACAGCCAAAGCATCCACGTTATCCAGAGGTGGTGAGGTGGGGACTACTTAAGAGGGGTGTATGGAGGATGGAGGGATGGCTCAGCAGTTAAAAGCACTGGCTGCTCTTCCAGAGAATCTAGGGTTTTTTTCCTGGCATCTACATGGTGGCTGACAATTGCCTGTTAACTTTAGTTCCAGTGGATCCAAGACCTTCTTCTGGCCTCCGAGGGCACTGCAGCTACATGGTGAACAGACATATGCAAAGGAAACATATAGTCAAAACACCCATATACATAAAATGCTAATAAAAGAAAATCAAGCCGAGTGTAGTAGCACATGCCTTTACTATCAGTACTTGGGCAGCACAGGCAGGTGGGTATCTGTGAGTTCAGCCTTGTCTACGTAGCAAGTCCAGGACAACCAGAACTACGTAAGAGAGAGATCCTGTCTGTAAATAAGTAAGAGGTGTGTGTGTGCCTGTCCATGAGACTGGAAGGGGGCAAGAATGAGAGCACACGTATTTCACTTTAGTGGAAGTCAATCAGCCAGTTAGACTCCCGACTGCCATCCCTCCCGCCTCAGCCTCCTGAGTGTTGGGATGACAGGCATGAGTAATCCTGCCTAGTCCTTACTCTTATTCTGTTTCTTTCCTGCTCTAAACACAACCCCCTCAATCCTGGTCCCTGCTGTAAGGAGAGATATAGTCACTGACCCTGAAATAAGTTTTCAAGTGTAACTCATTTAGATATTATTTCTGGTCCAAAAATAACTGGATAACTAGTAGAAAGTTACATATAAATGAATTACAGCAAATTTTTTAAAAAATTTATTTTACTTACGGTGCGTGCGTGTGTGTGTGTATGCGTGCACGCGCAGGTGCCTGCAGAAGCCAGAGAAACTGGATCCCACTGAAGCTGGAATTACAAACTTTTATGTGCTGTCCAACATGGATGGTGAAAACTTAATTCCAGTCCTTTATAAGACCAGTATGTGCTCTTAAGTGGTGAGCCATCTCTCCAACCCTGTAGCTAATTTTCTGTCTGTGTACAGGTGATATGTATTATCTATATGCAGATGTAGAAGGAAAAAGAATGCCTTTAATCCCAGCACTCAGGAAGTAGAAGCAGACAGGAAGATTTCTGTGAGTCCAAGACCAGCCTGATCTACAGAGCTATTTCCAGGACAGCCAGGGTTACACTTAGAACCTGTCTCAAAAAACAAAGGAGCCGGGCAGTGGTAGCGCACGCCTTTAATCCCAGCACTTGGGAGGCAGAGGCAGGCGGATTTCTGAGTTCGTGGCCAGCCTGGTCTACAGAGTGAGTTCTAGGACAGCCAGGGCTACACAGAGAGACCCTGTCTTCAAAAAACACCCCCCCCAAAAAAAACAAAAACAAAAACAAAAACAAAAACTTGGTATGGTAACGCCCTTAACTCCAGCACAGGGGAGGCAGAAACCAGATCCCTGAGGCTCACTAGACTGCCAGTAGTAGAGCCATTGAGAGGCTTTTTCTCAAAAATAAAACAAAACAACTTCCAAAAATCAAGACAACTGACTAAGCAACAGCACATAAGCTGTCTTTACACACATGAAAACTCTCACACTTAAATGCAAGGACAAAAGCCCCTAAGCCTGGCTATTTTCTGTAAGAGTGGTGGCATGTAATCCAGCACTTGGAAAGGAGAGATGGAGGATCTGGAACGCTGGTTAGCTTCAGCTACATAGTATGGTGGGGGCCAACCTCAGCTACATATAAGACTCTGTCTTAAAACAAAACCTCAAACCTTGGAGACAATAGCTTCTCCAATAGCCTCATTAACACTCATCTTCAGGACTATTTGTCCTAGTTCAGCAGGCCACAGAAACAATGCTAATCCTGGCAAAAGTCTTTAATTAAAAGACAGTAATTGCCAGGCAGTGGTGGTACACACTTTTCTAGCACTCAGGAGGCAGAGGCAGGAGGAGCTCTGAGGTCAAGGCCAGCCTAGTCTACAGAGAAAGTTCCAGGACAGCTGGGACTACAGAGGAAAACCCTGTAGTTTTCAAAAAGATAAACAAAACAAAAACAAAAAAAGGCAGTGTTCGAGTTCTTTCTACTTCATGCTATCATGATTTACAAGATCTGTAACAGAGAAGGGCTAGTATATTTTGAACTCAGTTTTCTCCCTAGATACTTTATTTGTACCATTCCTTAATTACAATGTTATAGATATGGATAAGTAGTCTGTTTTCTCTGAATGCTAATTTTACTCATAGGTAATGGGTCTAATTATCATTTTCCCTGCTGGGAGCATAGGAGAAAGTGAACAGGCTAAGAACCTGGACTGAAGTGATAACTTGGAAAGGACAAGGCATATCAAGTACATCCTGTGTCACCTCCAGTCTAATTCCCAAGAACATAAGTACCTTTAAAAGGGATGACTAACTTAAATGAAAACCCACACTCAAAAGCCAGTCTTGATAAATTTTTACCTCCAACGCCAAGGCAGTCTTGTCATAAGCACACGGTACTCGCTTCTGGATTGCTTTTGCAAAGACAGGTCCATTCTGTGTAGACGGCAAAGGGTTGATCGCTATCCCAGGAGCACTGGCAACTGCAGGTACAGGAGTTGTGGTCTGAGGTTGAGCATATGCGTGAGCAGGTTCTGGGATGCCATAACTGTTAGAATTCCTATTTCCATGCTTTCCATGTGGCGAGGACCTCACAAGCTTTTCAACGTAAGGGACAGGAATCATCCCAACCCGGCCGTCCTTGTTGCGGGCGCTCCACCACTGCTCTTCAGGCTTCTCTAGTATCACTAGAAGCTCACCCTTTTTAAAGGGTAGGTCTTCAGCATCATTCCCAGGAAAATCATACAGAGTCCGTACATATTCCAGATTTTCTTCTGCTGTAGATAAGTTGGGTGCTGAGACAGAACCCATTGGTGGACTTGGGTACCTTAAGAGAGAAACACAATTATTCTGAAGAGAAACTGTATTCTATGCGGATATGTGTCAAAAGCATGTAAGAGTTCCTTCCACTATAGTGAACTGTCCCTTTACTGTATTCTCAGTAAGATGTTCTGTCATTGTACATTCTGTAGTCTATAACAATATGCTAAACAGACTGTGTCATGTGTGCACATGGATACACGAACCATCACCCACAATGTGTTGCTGAGAATGCTTTGTTTTCAGATAATCTGAACTTATTTTTAACTCTTAAGTAAGTTCTATTGCTGTCTTCTTTTGTTACAACTGTCACAGAAACATTTCCTCACATTCTTCAATGGCTCACGTCCTGCATAGGTCACTAAGTTACAAAGGATGCAAAATATGAAAACCAGGCCTAGTTAACTGGCTCAGTGCAAACCTTACGACCCAAGTTTGATTTCTAAAATCACTGTAAGTGGTGGAGGGAACCAACTCCACAAAGTTATCATCCTGACTACACGTGTCTTGACTAGCCTCCTCCCCTGGCTGATAAACAATAATAAAGACCAGAAAAAGAAGCCAAGTGTAGAGTGATTTCGGAGGAAGGTAGCGCTAAATATGGTGGCACATACTTTTGTTTGTTTGAGACAGGATTTTTCTCTGTAGCACTGGCTGCCCTGGAACTCACTCTGTAAACCAGGCTGTCTATGCCTGCCTCTGCCTCCCGGGGGCTGGGATTTAAGGTGTGTGCCACCACCTCCTGACTAGGTGGCACACATCCTGAATCCTAGCCCTAGAAAGGCAGAGTCAGGCAGATCTCTAAATTCAAGGTCAGTATTCTTTATATAGCCAAGTTCCAGGCCAGCCAGCCAGCCAGCCAGAGCTGTACATAATCCCCTGTCTCAGAAAGAAAAAAGAGAGAGAGGGAGGAGGCTTTCCTAGTAAGTACAAGGCCCTGGATTTGATTCCTAATGCGAAGATGCTGTTTCTAGTAAATGAAACCAAAAGCAGATACATCCCATTTTAATGCAAGTTTTGAAAATTCCAGTTGAACTAGCCTCCAGCCTTCCAATGTTCTTTTGTTTGTACTGTTCTAAGGAAGTTTCACTGTAAGAAGAAAACAAACAACAAAAAGAGAAAACTCGGACAGAGAGATGACCATTAAAGGGCCTGTGACCCAAGCATCAACACCTGAGCTGGAACCTCTAATGCCTAAGTAAGGCATGGCCTAAAGAACCTGCCTGAAGGAGGAAGGACAGCACAGGGCCAGCAAAGGCAGGGAGGGAGACCCCAGGGATTTACTGGCCAGCCAATCTAGCAGAATCAGTGAGCTACAGGCTTGGTGAGACCCTATCTCAAAAAGGAAGTTGGAGAGGCCAGAGAAGTTACTCAGTGGGGACAGGTGGTAGTTGTGCAAGCCTACCGATCTGAGTTTGGTCTCTGTGACTCTCACGAGTGGATGTGGTCAAAGTCCAGATAGAGTCGCCTAGTAGCTTGAGGGCTAGCTAGCCTGGAATAATCTCTGAAACCACAGAAACCAGAGCAATTCTACTGAATCAAGGTGGAAAGTAAGAACCCATTCCTGAAAGCTATCCCTTAACTTTCACATATATATATATATATATATATATATATATATGTCAATTTCTTTACTTAATGTTAGTACAGATATTTCTGCTTGCTTCATGATTACCTTTATGGCAGGATGATGTTTTATTCTTATACTTAAGGATACTTAAATGAAGCATCCCTGGATATTAGTTTTTTTCCTAATTTTCCTCAGATTCTCTGCAAGAGCAACAAGTACTCCAACTGTAGAGCCATCTTTCCAGCTTGAAGCTTCCTCAATGTCATGAACCTTTTAGAGTATATTTTCGGTTTCTTTTCTCTCTCTCTTTTTTTTTCCTTTTGGTGCTGAGAACTGAACCTGTGATCTTGAGCATATTATACACTCTCCCATTATGTATATTTTCCCCAACATCAGACTTTCTGGAAATGTCCTAAATTAAAGAACTGAATTTTTTAATGGCCCTTGGTACAGGCAACTACACTGTGAAGGGCACAAGTGTTTCTCAAAAGGCATCTTTCATAATCGGCAAACATATCTTTTTTTTTTCTTTTTTGTTTCTTTGTTTGTTTTTTGGACACAGGGTTTCTCTGTGTAGTCCTGGCTGTCCTGGAGCTCACTCTGTAGACCAGGCTGGCCTCAAACTCAGAAATCTGCCTGCCTCTGCCTCCCAAGTGCTGGGATTAAAGGTGTGCGGCACCACTGCCTGGCAACTTACATCTTTCTAATACAAATAACTACTTAAATTTAAAAAGCTAAAAACCAAAACCAAAAAAACCCTGTTTCATATTACTCAAGTGTCTTAATACCAGTCCACATAGAGACAGAGAATGGCAGCAGTAAGAGTCAATATTTATTTATAGAAAGCACTTTAACAAGCTTTGTGTTTACTTTAAAGATTTGCTTGTTGTGTTTAATGTTATGTATACATGTGCATGGGTATATGCACATGAACGCAGGTGTCTGGAGAGAATATTAGATGCCTCGGGGCTTAAGTTGGTTGTGAACTGCCTCACATGTGTGCTGGAAACCAAACTTGAGTCCTCTGAAGCACAGTAGGTGCTTTTAACTGAGGAACCATCTCTGAAGCCCCAACCTTTCTATTTTTATTTTTTTTAAAGATTTATTTTATTTTATATGTATGGATACTTTTCCTGCATGTATGTAAGTGCTCTGAAATGCCTGGTACCTCCAGAGGGCCAGAGTCAGATCCCTTGGAACTTGAGTTATAGATGACTGTGAGCCACTGTGTGGGTGTGGAGAACTGAACAGATCCTCTGCAAGAGCAACTGTTAGAGTCATGTTTTTGTACACTGTGTGAAGATGTGTCTCTGTCCTTCCTTGCCTGCCTAAGGTGCCTTCTGATTGATTTATTAAAGAGCTAATGGCCTATAGCAAAGCCAGGGAGTAGAAGGTGGGACCTCCAGGAAGAGATAGAAACTCTGGGAAAGAGTCAGCTGTTTGAGCTTTGTCACGCAGAGCAGGTCGGGTGTATGAAGAGAGGCAACAGCCATGTGGCAGACAGAATAGTATAAATGGGTTAATATAAGCTAAGAGCTAGCTGAGAAATAAGCCAAGCTTAAGACCTAGGCTTTTATTAATAAGTATAAAAGCCTTTGTGTCATTATTCAGAAACTAGGGCATATATAGGAAAGCCCAAAGGGCGATAAGCAACAAGTATTCTGAAAAGCTGAATCATGGCTCCAGCCCCAAGAATTATCTTTTTGAAGATGGTCTCAGTATATATAGCCTAGGTTGGCCTTTAACTTAAAATTCTCCTACTTCCATTTCCTAAATGCTGGAACTATAGGGATATACCACCAAGCTTGTGGTTTGGAGTCTTGGTGACGCTATTTAATCACTAAACAATCCAGAGGCACAGATTCTGATATCTCCATTTTATAGACAAGAAAAATAAGTATGCAGGGTAGGTAGTTGTACAACCAAAACATCTGGTTAAATCTTCACTCACTAATTTAAGCTAATTAGCCTCAGAGACAAAGTGCATCTTTTAGGTAAAGAATTTATGTCAATGCATTTGAGACATTCACAAGGACTCCTAAAACTCTTTTGTGTGTTTTTCACACACACCTAAAAGCATGTCCCTGTTCCTATTCCAAGAACCACAGAGAGTCTATTCCAAGTTTGGTATGTATCACACAGACAGAGCTCACTAGACAGCCCAGTAAGCGCTATTTCAGCTCTCACTCAAGGATGTCTATTTTAGCATGTGTATAGTTTTAGATAGTTAAACAGCTGAGCATAGAGGCAAGTGGGTCTCTGTGAGCTCAAGGCCAGTCTGATCTACACATTGAATTCCAGGACAGCCAAGGTTACATAGTGAGACTCTGTCTTAAAGACAAACACAAAAGGATGAACAACAGATCTCCAAACAGTTAAACACAGATCATGAGGGCACCATTACAGCCTCACCATGGACTCAAATTAATGAAGTCCATGAACCAGACAGCCACTAACCCCAGCATGTATTAAGTATTTATAAGACCAAAAATATGAATAAAACCAACTGTTTGTTTTTGAAAGACCACAGTGTAGAGACAGAGCTGGAATAAAATTAAGCACAAAGCATAACTATTGTGTGTCAGGGCAGGAGTTGATAAAATCCAGGACAGACTACAGAAAAGGTGAATTTTGAAAAGATAGAAAAAGTGTTTTAAATGTAAAATGTCTCCCATGGGCTCATGTGTTTCAACACTTGGTCCCTAGGTGATGGCACTGTTTTGGAACTGTCAGGAGAAGCCCCACCACAGAAAGAAGAGAGTTGCTAGAAGCACATCTTGAAGTTTGGTGGCCTGGTCCCACTACCTGTCTACTCTCTGTTCTCTGATTGGTGAGGCTATGTGATCATCTATCTGCTTATAGATGTTATCATGCCTTCTCAGCCATGATAACTGGATTTCTTCTCTTCTTAAATTGTAAGCTGAAATAAACTTTTCTTCCCTTGAAGTTATTTCTTGTCAAGTATCTAGTCACAGAAATTGAAAAGGCAAAGAATTCAGATGTGATTAAAAAAAGATTCTAAGATTTTGTTTAAGATAGGCTTAGTAGACCACAGTCCCAGAGACTCATATGCCCTATAACAACCTCCCCCCCCAAAAAAAACAAAAAAACAAACAGAAGCTCTACTTTAGGGTTTCCATAAGAAAGCAAACGTCTGTGAAGTACCAGACTGTACAGATCTGCAAGCTACAAATTGGTTTTTACTCTTTAATGGTAGGCATGGTGCCACACTTTTTTTTTTTTTTTTTTGGTTTTTCGAGACAGGGTTTCTCTGTGTAGTCCTGGCTGTCCTGGAACTCACTCTGTAGAGCAGGCTGGTCTCGAACTCAGAAATCCATTCACCTGCCTCTACCTCCCAAGTGCTGGGATTAAAGGCGTGCGCCACAACCACCCGGCGATACACATTGTTTTTTAAATTACTACTTTTCATCTTATTG